AGGGAGCGAGTACCCTTTCCCGACTCCCAGAACGGGGTGGTTTCATGTCGTTGTTGTTTTTGTCTTTGAAACGACAGCCCAGCTTGAGCGAAGTTTTGGAAAGGGGTTAAAGAGGCTGACTTCAGGTCAAGGTTAGGGAAGCTGCACCACCCACAGGGTCAGGCGACGGCTGAGCTTTCCCGGGGATTTATGCAGAGCCTCTGACACCCACCCCTCCACGGGGCAGAGGGGGCTGTGGATTGTAAAGCTCTGGTTCCTAAGGGGAGCGCTCCCTGAGTCTCAGCCTGGTGGGTGGATGTGAGTGTGAGGATGCCCCGCGAAGTCACTCTCATCCAAATCCAAGAACAGCTGGGAAGCCAAGCCTGGCTGACTATCGCTTTCTTATAGTGTGTGAAGTGATTTAAAATGTCCAATTCCGTGCCTTTCGGTTGTTTCGCAATCAATAAAGTGGATGCGGGCAAATACCGTGATCACAGGCTCCCCAACCCCCCCCACCCATCTACCACCCGGAACCCCAGATCTTGTTCTTCTGCCCTTTGTGGTTTCTGTACGCAGACTCGGGCACTGTCGTGTCCTTCTATGTTCCTTATAAATGTACGCAGTATTTTTAAAAGCTAAAGCATTATTTAAATTCTAACAATAATATATACCAGGAAAAATATTCTTGTAAAGACTCTCTGACTTTTATGCCATGTAATCAAGTCATTACTACTATAACTTAACGATGAAACAAGATAATGTGTCTTTCAATGCTTCTCCCATAATAGGCATTTGACGAATACTTATTGAGTCTGAATGTAATGGGCCTCATCCTCTCAATACATCAGAGGCACAACCTGCTAACAGATACAGGCGGCAGACACCACCGCTGTGACCTCAGTTCCCTTCCCCCCAAGTCTTCCTCCAGCAGTCACATGTGGGGGGCAGCAGCGAAGTCAGCAGCCTTGCCTTTGATTTCAGAAGACAATCAGTTACAGCACAATATGTGTGTAGCTGGTCTGTACTGTATCCGTGTGTGCTCACATGTGAATGAGTTGCAGCCTAGCTGAACAAGCTCCAGCACAAAGTCATTCTCCAGTGATTGCCCTTAACTCCTGCTTTCACATAATGCGGTGAGGGGAGCAGCTGTGTGAAGGGATTTGCTCCCTGCTCACTCAGCGGGTCCCTCACCTTCCAGGGCAGAGACCACACTGTACCTGTACAAAGGCCTGGACATGCATAAAGCAGTCTGGGACGTCACAGGGCCAAGGGAGAGGTCAGATGTCATGGTGGGTCATGGAGGGGTCAAGGTGGCCCACGTGGTGAGGAAGGATGGGGAGCCATGCCCAGCCTTCCACAATCAGGGTTTGACCTAAACATACAGTGAGGGGTAAGGTTCTGACAGGGAAACTACCACCTCTTCCAAGAAGCCTGCCCTGATTTCTCACCTGAGGTGGCCTCTGTCCTCCTCTGTGCTCTGAGCACTAGGTCCAAACCCCTCTTGAGTCACTGTACCTACTAGGCTGAATTTTGTTTCTTTTCTGTCTCTCTGTGATGCTCAGCATAGCAGCGGGCAAGTGGCCTCTGTCCTCCTCTGTGCTCTGAGCACTAGATCCGAACCCCTCTTGAGTCACTGTACCTACTAGGCTGAGTTTTGTTCGTTTCTGTCTCTCTGTGATGCTCAGCATAGCAGCGGGCACCTGGTAGGTACAAATAAGTCAGAGATGGAGAGGTGATGCTTTCTTGGGGTAGAAAGTTCAAATAGTTGTTTTAGGGTTGAGGGAAAAGTAGAGGCACTGCTTCCTTTCCATTAGTATCCTAACAAAACTCGGTTACAACTTTTGTGCATGCTACATGATAAGTATTGGTCCTATAAAGGACAGTGTTGACTGATAAAATTGTGGGAAAAGGAGATTTGATATTTTGAACTTTGTGGAGAGGGAAACAGAAGTTTGCCTCTCAAATCAAGCTTTTTGTCTTTCCAGTGTAACAGTCAGATGGGCTGGTTTTGCTGCAGTAACAAACAAGCCCTAACTTCAGTGGCTTAAAGCAACCAGGGCTCATATCTCACTCCACCACATGTCTGCGGGATCAGCAGAGGAGCTGTACATGTGGCACAATTCAGAGATCCAGCCCAAGGAAGCACGTGTCACTCTGTCCATCATTTATCAGCCAGAACTACTCATATACTGCTCCACTCTATGCCCAGGCCAGGCAGTCAGAGAGCCTAAAGTATGTGGGGCACCGTCTTCCTGGCTGCAACTTCGTAGTCCCTTTTTGATCTTATTTTCCCTCCTTTTTCTAAATTCCTTTTTGCCCCAAGAGCTTCTGCAAATAGTCACCGTTGCTCATTGTGGGACTTGGCTTAACCTTTTGGTTGATTCTTAGGCATGAACCCTTCCTCTCCAAATTCAATAACCTGCAAATGAAATTGGGGCCTGTCTGTGTCAAAGCTGGATATGGCCTCAAAAAACATGTTGAGGAAAAGACCTATGTATATTGATCTCAGATCATTCATAAGGAGAGGAAGAAATGGATGCAAAACCCAAATTCCGGCTCGTGTGTGCCACCCGCGGTGAACAGACAGATATTCACCAAACCCTGCAGGCCGAGTGCTACCTCGTTCCTGCAGATGACGCCTTCAATGCACGGTCTTGTTGAGATCCTGCGGGACTGGCAGCCGTGGCCCTTTCCGCACGTTGTGGGGGAGAGGAGTGGGCCCGGGGCCCTGGTAGACAGAGAGCTCCTTAGCCTCCTTGGGGCAGGGGGGCATGTGTCCTGCCAGCACCGGCCAGGGGCCCCACACTGGCTCCTCCGAGGACTGGCTTTGCCCATTTGCATCTCTCTGTCACCTCCAGCACAAAGTACGCTCAGTTACCCAGAGCACAGTAAATATTTGTGGAGTTGAATTTAAAAACATTTGTCCGCAGCGTGTGGAGATCCAGGGTACAAATCTTCTACAGGTAGGTAAACCGCAGGTACACAAGCGGGTCACTCATGACAGTGGAGAGCAGGCTGGGCCTCACAGGCCTTTTAGAACATGGAGGGGGAGAGAGAAAGAAGAAAGGAGAGAGAATGGGAAGAAAATGAGCAAGAGGAGAGGGAGGAGGACAGATGTGCCCACTGTTACTGTTCGACTATCGGATGCTGCTGTGGCTCCTCTGCCCCCTTCCCGAGGAGACAGGGCTGTGGCACCTGGACCCTGCCCCATGCCAGCTCCACCTGCCCCCAGGTGGCCTCCATCACCCTCCTGGCCCCTCGGAGCTGCTCATCCTTCTCAAGTATTTCTTCAGAGGCGGCCCCTGGTCAACTCCCAAACTCCCATCCAGATGACAGAAGCTCTCAGGCTGCAACCAAAAGACCTCCCCGCCACCGCCCACCAGGGCACCCCCACTAAGACAGGGGTGCATCTCCATCTCCACAGCTCTCCGGGCCAGGTCCTGCTCGGTACACATTGCCCCTGACCCAAGCCCTCCAGATGGGGGCCAGTGTTACTCTCTCACAGAGGAGGACATGGAGGCAGAAAAGGTGACGTAACACACCCAGGCCCACAGTGGTGTTGGCAGACCCAAGGTCACAGAGCCAGAAGCCAGGCAGCGAGTGGCAGTGGCTCCAGGGTCCCTTCTCTCCTCTCCAGACCGTTCGTCGGGCTGAGGGCTCAGTTGGACCCGTGTGACCCAGAGCAGGTCACTTCACCTCTCTGAGCCCTGCTTTCTCCGCCTGTAACATCAAGGTGGCTGCAGCTGCCTCCTTGGCCAGATGCCAGAGAGGGTGACATGGCACTCAATGACGCTTTGGGCTTCTGCCGGCCCCTCCAGAGCCCCTGTGACCCGTTTTCCAGGCCCCCTGCCTCCTGCTGCTCCGCAGTTAGGACATTAGCATTACCTAGGCCCTCTGACATTCCCTGAGCAGTACTTAATGAAATATTTGTGTTTATTCCCCTGTATTTTTTACTTCTCCACCCCACCCCTCCACTTCAGATAAGCTTTGTGCTACCTTGCCTGAGGGGGTTAATAAAGACTTTCTTGGGAAAAATTTTTAAACTATGAAAGAGATGCCCTGGCCAGGTAGCCTAGTTGGTTAGAGCGTCATCCTGATATGCCAAGGTTATAGGTCCGATCTCCGGTCAGGGCACATACAAGAATCAACCAATGAGTGTACAGATAAGTGGAATGACAAATTAATGTGTCTTTCCCCCACCACCACCACCCCCTTTTTTCTCTCTCTCATCAAAAGAAAAATTAAAATTAAAAAAAAAAAAACTATGGAAGAAATAAAGCCAGGGAGAGAAGG